TGTAAAAACAGACTACTTTCTTGAGGGGGATTTCAGTTTAAAAATGACTTATTTGTCATGTTGTCAACAAGGCAACAAAAGGTCACATCGCTAAGCCGTGAGAAGAAGACTGGTTCCTACACACTTGATGGAAGAGGAAATGCATTTATGGTTCCATGATGTACATATATACACTCCCACTGCTATATCAGATTGTGTCTGCAATTATCAGAGGAGGGGGAGATTGCCTTCCATATAGGGCAATCGTATCCATCCATTAGTCTCGCATGACGTGGAGCATTCTGATTGGCTGGTTGCTCGATCACGACTGCGTTTTGACAGCTAACCGTGGACGGAGAGGCACTTCAAAAGTAACCTTCGCCAAAATTGGCCAATGGCATCACATAATAAAACTTGATTGTTCGGCCGTTGTAAAAATAGTTGTTTAACCCTGGCCAGGTGCCTATGGCCATGTTCTTTTTGCCAAATTGTTTACCTGGAGTATGGAGTCCAGAGATATATAGAGTCTGGTTATTGGATTAAATATTCTACAACTCAAATCCAGCAAAATCTCATAAAACCCTACTCAGAAGTAGAGGCACTCTTTCCATGAGATCCCAGCTCCTCAAACACAGAAATACAGACAAGTCCTCAAACCAGTACTAAATGTAAACTTTGTGTTCCATTCTATTAGTCAAGTGCTTACTTCCCACTAACAGAGTAAACTATTAGTGCAGGGTTCCCAAAGACTCAAATTTGGGTGGATCTAGACTAATTCTTTCATGGAGTATAAATTTAGGTAAAAACTGTACACTTAAAAAATATAAAGTTGGGCCAAACTTGGATGGGTCAAAACCACCACACTTAAAATACAAATTATTCTGGTCCCAAATCCCAATATGATCTTCCCACATACTATTATTGTCCCAAAATCATCTTCAAGCAAACCACTTTCCTTGGCCCCAAAATCATATCCCCACTGACCATGTTTGTACATCTCAAACTCATATTAGCCTCTACTACTTTTTGTCCCAAAATCGTCCTTTCATTACTCTTTTTTTTCTTACAAAATTAGTATGAGTGAAATGTCACTTTCATCAAACAACTACCAACATAAATGCTAACCATATCTTTATGAACTACTTATTTTCCCCCAATAAATAACATTTTTCAACCCGATTTCCAATTTACTCTTAAAAACCCATCCCATTTTCACATTGGAGGAAGATCATTTTGGGCGATCGAGTAGAAAATTTTTAAGTTGAAATCCAGGAGGCTTTGATAGAAATCAAGAACAAAAAGAAAAATGACAAAACTCATTCCTGGGGTCCGCAGGCGCGATCAAACAACCAATTACCAGGAAGCAGGTAAATTAAGCTATAATCTTAGTACGGCAAATTACGAGTGACATCTATCCCTGGTACATGGAAATGTTTCATACTCTGCATGATCCCCTTTCTAGCCTATGTCAGGAGTCGAATCCGGGCATTGCCTTTTATGGACATTTTCTTTGTCATCTAAGCTACGCCCAGGCGAAATCAAGAACAATGATTTCAATTTGGAAACAGCAATAAGAAATCCAAAGCAATTCAATGTTTATACAATCATATTTCAAGAACTATACATGTGCATACCATAACCGTAAACTAAACCATACAGCAAGAAATTTAAATTTAAAAACTTCAAAAAAAAAAACTCACCTGATCACCAGAGAAAACAGCCCAGGCCAAGGGCTTGTTGAAGAGAACACTCCCTTTGATCATACTCAGAGTGCACCTCCCAACATGAACCAGTGAGTAGGAAGCAGCGATCCCATTGGATGCCACTAAAAATCTGCAACATACAATCAATTAAACCCCCCAAAAAACAAATTCCCCCAAAAAAAACCCTAGAAATTTGACCGGGCAGAAGAAATTAGGGAAAAATCTTACACTAGGGCTTTCATGTCCGTAAACCTAGCTTTCTTCCGAACGGTGAAGATCTCCTTCACCTGAGTGTCCGTCGCAATAAGAACGGCGCCGATGAGTGCCAGCCCGCAGATCAAGCACCTCAGAACCAGCTCCGCGACTCTCACTCGCCTGTCGAACACCTTCAAGCTGCTCCCATGGTAGACCGGAACAGTTCCGGGGCTAACTCCGACGCCCAAGTAGCTCATGGTGGCCGGAATGCCACGCGCCGCCGGGAACTACAAAGAGAATTGGAGAGCAAGAAATGTGAAATGCGCGTCGAGAAAGAGAGTAGTACTACTGTAGAGAGCACGCGCGCAGTGCTCGACCGGCTTAACTTGGTCGCTCATTATATAGGGCACGCCATTGTTACTGTACTTGTTTTAAGTGCGGAGTTATTATCCGAAAAATCCCGAATCCATTTTGTAAATGTACTGAATAATTGGGACACAACTTTTTTATCCCGAATCCGTTCCGTCTCATTAGAGCATGTGCAATGGCAAGGAAGAGGCATGCACTGCCACATCAGTTTCTTCCACACATATCATGGCATGGCAAGGCTAAAATGCCTTTCTTTGTGAGGCATGAGTGTGGCACTCCATCCTTCTTTTTTTTTATTTTTTTAAATAATTTTTTTAAAAATTTTTTATGAAAAAATGTACAAAAAGTAGAATAATTTTTTAATAAAATAAATAATAAAAATATTTTTTTATGTTTAAAAAACATAAAAAATTGTAAAAAAGTGATAAAAAATAATCACTTGCCATTGTAGAACTTGCCACTCCATTCACTTGTCACACGCTGACTGAACTATTTTTATCAAATGGGACATGAGCGGGACAACTTAAATTTATACCGATCCGTCCCGTTTGTCCCGTTTTATCTATTTTATTAATATATAATTATAATTCTATACACTCATTCTTTAATTAATTAAGTTAACTTCAATACTACCTACTGCTTTTGTTTTTTTGAATGACAGTAGCTAATTGCTTGGTGTGTATGAACACAACTAGTTTTTGGATGTCTTAGGAAGTTAATGACTTTTATCTATCACATTTTGTGACTTTTGGATTGAGTACCCCCTCTTATATTTGGGATTAGGACAAAGTAGGATGACCCGAATCCATCCCGGTTTGTTCCAATCCCGAATTTTATGGGACAAACCGGGATAAGATTGTAATCCGAACCGTTCCGGACCGTTTATATATAACGGGACAAGACCAGAACAACCTAAAATCCGGACCGTCCCGATTCGTGCCCACCCCTAGTTATTATTATGGTTTTCACACTTTTGGACATAAACCATAATTGTAGTCCACCAATCCAAAATTTAATGTATCAACAGTCCCCAAGACACATTTTTTTTCAATAAAATAAAAAAATAGTGTAATTGATTTTTACTCATTAGTGGAGGTAGACAATATCTTTATTGATCGTTGTGATTTGAAAAATTGATATCAATATAATTCTATTTTAAAAAATCATTTTTATAAAAAATCTTATGATTCAAAATGTTGCACACATAACCCTTCAAGGACTTTTTTTTCTCCAACTATTTTCCCGGTAGAGAGGATGTCATTGGTGCCCATTTTTCAAATACAAGGGACACTGGAGCCCATTATACTATGTTTTGTTCAGTATTTACTTTTTTTAAATCATATTTTTTATAATGTTTAAAAAAATTAAAATTGTTTGTGTTTGAAACAAAAATAACTTAGATTTTAAAAAAATAACATTGCGTCATCTATCTCATGTTAAACATTTTTTTTCCAAAGTAGAAAGAAAAAATTATTTTGGGATGCAACAAAGAATGACAAATAAAAAAGAAAAGAAAAGAAAAAATAGAGAAAGGAGATGGGGATGTTTTCCGGTTGGGGTGGGGTGAGGAGGTTTACCGGAGGAGTTATGGGGGTAGGAACCGTCAATTTTACGAATGAGGCACCAGAGCGCCCATTGCCCATGGGTCATCCCATGACATGAGATTCCAATGTCATAGGAACCCCACCATTTTGTATATTTTTCTTTTTTCGTTTTTTTATATTTTATTTTTTTTCTTTTATTTTATTTTTCTATTCCTCATTACTTTTTTCACTCCCAAGAAAATATCTTTTTATTTTTGAAAACGAAAAATGATCATATTTAGCTTGAAACACATGGAGTATATGTTATTTTTTCATTTCATTTATTTTTTTATTTCAAACATAGATAATTTCTAGTTTTTAAAACATAATAAAAATTAATCTGTAAAAAAGAAACTTAAAAAGTTTATGTAAAAGGAAACAAAGAAAAGAAAAAAGAGAAAAAAGTCTTAAAAAAATGAGCATAAAAGGGAAAAAGGGTTCTGGACTTCTGGTACCCCTGCCATTTGGAAAATGGGCACAAATGCCCCCCCCCCCCACTATCAAATTTTAGTCACACTCTCGGGCGTGAAATACAAACACAAGTACACAACACCAAAAGTTAGTTTAAGACAACATCATCGTCATTAATAATTATAACTAAAACAATTGTTCATTACACATTAATAATAACTTTTTAAAGCAATATTAACAATATCACACTAATTAAGTTGAATATGTAATCATTAATTTGATGTTTATCCTTCATAAGTTTTACATCAAACATCCAATATAATACTTCCTTCGTTCTGATTTTGATTACAGTTTTATTCTCTCTTTTCTTGATAATTTTTGTTTATTTATGCATTTTTACCTCCTATTTTGTAAAATTTTGGATATACTTTTTTAATATGTAATATTTATTTCTTATTAATGTAGCAATTTTTAAATAAAATAATTTATTAAATCGTGTGATTTTACATCATAATTCCCATTTTGTAATCAAAATAAAGACAAAGGAAGTATATACTTTTCCAACAAATATAGAAGGAAGTATGGAATTTGCGAGGTGCAATTGACATGAACGGGGGATGAATTGGGATAAAAATGAGTGGGAAATTTATAGATGAGTTAGACCAAAAAGTAATGGAGTCAAAATGAGGGATTGACGGAGTGTAATAAGATATGACGTGGAATGATAAAAATATGTGTGTTGTGTGGAAGGAGACATGCCCAAAAAGTGATGGGATAAAAATATGAAATATTTAGATTGGTTGAAAAAAGTTATCTTCACAGTGTGATGACTATCACCCACCAAGGGGTCGCGCCCCATCACGGCAATGGTGGCACGGGAAAGCATGTGTGACGGGGGTTTGATCAAGAAGAAACACACCAATTTCATCAAGCCTCATAACAAATGGTCTTAAAGACAAGAACTACGGAGTATTAATGTTAGAAATGGAACATTTTAATTGTCCATTGTCTTTCGTGGCCATTCAAAAAGATTGGCCATAGAAATGACCCATAATAATACATCAACATCAATGTGCTTCTAAATAGTTTGAGTTTTGACATTTTCATCTATTTATGAATTGATTTCTGTTAATAAACTTTTTTTATAGGAAAAATTTACATCAATACTTTGACAAATTTTTTATTTTACAAGAATACTTCGAAAATCAAAAAATTACATCATTACTCTCACAATTGTTCTCGTTTTACAAAAACACTCCACAAGTCATCTCACTTGCACAATTATACTGTGTAATAATACCTAATTTGATTTTTTTTGAAACATGATTTTTAAAGTGATACTCCTTCCGTCCTAAAACTTTCTTCCTGATTCGCAAAACAAAGAAAAATCCCAAGTTTTTTCAATCTATTTTATTTAAATATTCGTATAGAAATAAAAAATAAAACATACATATTTAAAAACTACATCAAAAGTTCAACAAAACAAGTGGTGACAATAATATTTTATTTTATCATATAGGCCATGAAAAAACACAAATAAATATAAATTCCCGTGAAGTTGGAATAGTGCTCTGGAAAGAAAGTTTTAGGACGGAGAGAGTACTTGGAAAATAAATCATTTTCTTAGTTTTCATAAAGAAAAGTTAAATTTATTATTCCTCATCTAACTCAAATGTCAATCATCTCTCTCACATTTAGGATTTATTCTTTTCGGTTGGATTTCTAAAGTTGTATGTTGGAAGAAATTAGAAAGAGTTGGAAGCAAGTAAAAGAAGTTGGAAAATGTTAGAAAAATAAAGTGTTAAAAAGTTCACTCAATTAAATGATCATCCAAATAAATACTACATCCGTCCCAAAATAGATTGCAGTTTTTCTCTCTCTTTCCTCTCGATAACTTTTGTTTGTTTACGTGATTTTATTAAGTATTTAATAAAATAAAATATTCTTGTCACTTCTTGTTTTGTAGAACTTTTGACGTAGTTTTTTAATATGTAATTTTTATATCTTATTGATATACCAATTTGTAAATAAAATAATTTCAAAAAGTAGAAAATTTTACTCCGTAACCCGCAATTTGTAATCAAATTGGGGACGGAGGGAGTATGTAAGAAAACTAATTTTGGATAAAAAAAATAGTCTTTATTTTGTTTGTGTTTTAGGTGGTATATATGCTATAAAGTTAGATATATGATATTATTGTATATTCATTATATCTAAACATTTTTTTCAAGTCATTGTTGGAAAAATTAGATGGAATTCAAAGAAACTTGAATGAGTTTGAAAAAATTGGAAGTTAACCCTTTCAACCCAAAAGAACATGCCCTTAAAGTATGAGATTGATATTTAAATTGGAGGAGGAATTAGTAATTTACTTTTTTATGAAAACTGATAAAAGTGATTTCATTTAAAAAATGCATGTTACGTAATATGATTATGCAAGTGAGGTGGCGGCCATAGGAGTGTTTTTGTAAAAAGAGAGTAATTGTGAGAATAAAAGTTTAATTAATTAATTTTTGGAGTATTCTTATAAATTCAAGATTTGTCAGAGCATTGCTGTAAATTTTTTCTTTTTATGTAATACTTCTTTGTTTCATGTTTTTCATTCATTTTGATTTTTTACGATGTTTAATGCAACCATTGGTCATTAATATTTCTTTTTGTGCATAAACATATATTTTGAAAATATTATTGTTCAAAAAGAAGTTTCAAAATAAATCTATTACTACCTATGTTCCAGTGTACTTGTTCAGTTTGACTTTTTCAAGTCAAACTGGACAAGTTTTGAGCTTCAATTACCCTCAATTTGTATCGCATATTAGTACGTACAATTAAATTTAATTGTGAACCTTGAGTTTCATTGACTATTTGATTAAATAAAATATTCTTGTCACCTCTTGTTTTGTAGAACTTTTGATGTATTTGTTAAATATGCAAGTTTCGTTTTTTTTATTTAAATACAAATATTTAAATAAAATGAATTTAAAAATTGAAATTTTACCTTTTTCATTAAAGAGTAAATAATTTAGGGATGGAAGGAGTATTA